GCAGTGCTCTGTCTCAGAAGCAGGTTTGCAATCCTGACTGGACTTTTTGGCTAAAATCTACTTTTTGGCTCACATGGAGCATCTGAGTCTGCTGCTTGTTGTGACATGGCAGGAGCACGCGATGTATCAGCACCTCCTGCAAGTTCCCAGACCTTCCAAAATCTCCTTGGTATAACATAGCCTGTTCAGAAGCACTGCTGTGATTGATGAAAAGCACCAAACTGGGCTGTGTCAAGCTAGAAGTTAATTCACAATTGCAACCTGTATTGAAGAAAATAGGGGTGTGTAGAACCCTTTGATTCTAAGTTGCAATATTTTTATTATAATTTCCGTGGGGTGTTTTTTAGCAACATGTGAGGAAATGGCTTATATTTCCTGGTCTTTCTGTACTCATAGAACTTTACTTTGAGGTCTGTCCTCAAATTGCCTTTGTTCTTTGTCGGAATACCAACCATTGAAGTGAAGGTACTTCAGTGGACACACACAGGTAACACATCATTAGTGTGTGGAAAAGTTTAGAGAGAGCTAGGTGTATTTTTCTAGGCTTCTTAAGAGAAAGAAACTGTCAAAAGCAAAACTGTATGGATTCTTTGAGAAGAAATAGTCTTTTATTGGCTGAAGATATATTAACACAAGTAATAATGTTTTGGGACAAAAAAAAGTTACGTGAAAGCAAGAGGACAAAAAAAAATGTGTTGGAGCATACCTGTTTTATGTTTGCTGTTTCATATGAATAAAAAAAAAAACAGTGGTTCCACAGGGCTAATATATAAGCTGTACAAATATAGATGGTATATGTTTTCCCTTGCTTGTTCTTAAGTATAAATGGTGTTCACATTCCTTGAATCATTAATCATATATTCATTCCAGCACAGAGTGACCCAAAGATGTTAAAAGTATGGTTGGAAAATTCTCCCTTTCTGTTCATTTCTTTCTTCGTTCCCCCCTTCTCCATCATTTCAGCTTCTCCATTCCAACCTACTTCATGTTCTGCCAGTTAGAGATTTCCCAGGATAGGCACGTATTTTATTTTCTTAGTCAGAGAGCTCACATTTCCTTGGAGTCTCTTGTGACTGCTGTACTGTTATGGGCAACGAATGGGACAGAGTAAAGCTGCCTTACTCACTCTTCTTCAGTGCAGTCTTCTCCAGCTGCATTTTAAAAGCATAACTGAGCTGCAACCACATTTTGTAGTAGGTTGGGTTCTGTGAGCTACGCGCACTCTTGATGGGCCCCTGTGGATATTTCTTATAGAAGAGGGCAGAGAGTGAATTGCAGGTACTCATCTGTTATGGGACTCCTCTACCTGCAAGGTGAATGTGCATAGACAGGGCTAGCTGTGGACGCTGCACACATAAGTGTCTCTCTGCCTCTTGACCTGTCACCAAGATCTGTCTCCAGCCCTGCATCTGTAGTAGAGGAACTGGGAAGTTTTTCTACCTGATCTTCAGACTCCAGAGCAATTGGGCTGGAACCCAGATGGCCAAGTTGCATCTACATGTGTTTGTGACCAAAGCTAAAACTAGGGCAGCACTGCTGTAGGAGATGGTCAGTGAGCTTGGGTGCTACCAGGGTGAAATGAGAGCCTGCAGAGGGCTGGGACTCCATGTAGACAGCAGACTTCAAATGTAACTGGTGGAGATGTCATGATGTTTGCTAATTAAAGAATGCACCTAATAATACTTTCTTGGCTAATTAACACAGTACTGTTATCAGTTGTATTAATTCACAGTTATATCACTGCAAGAAACACAGAGCTACAATTCTATTGCTTATTGTTAATATTAATATTCATACACAGTTACACTACTATAAGTATTTCTTACAAACAAACCATTGTTAGTTAATTTTTTCTCATCAATCCTAATTTTGTTAGGATTGAATTCCAAGTTGCTATTTCTGTCACTGTAATCTGGGCAATTTTACCTCTGCAGATTTCAATTGTGTAGATGAGACATGCAGCCTTGTATCCAAAAGTTAGCTGTTTGCCCCATTGCCCAGACACACTGTTGTGGCACCTTCCTCAGATCAAAACAAGCATGTCTGAATATCACTGTTGGTGTAAACCTCCTATAAATGTATGTTTCCTCGGGAAATAAACACTTTTATGGTACTTTACAGCTACACATCCCATCTCTAAATTGTAAACTTTGCTGATATACTTACATTTTATTTCCCTTTGTCTCAGTTATGCGCTCATGTGTAGAGTTCGTTTTGTCAAGGTTTTACAAGGATCTTTAAAAGATCTATTTTTAAACTTTAAAAGTCTGAAACTCTAAAACTTGATACTGTAACTTCCCAATAATATCAGACTAAATGAATGTGCCCTGATCTGCTTTTGAGAAATTGTGTACATTCATAGATAATAAAGCAGAAAATGTTACGTGTGACTGAAAGGTCCCAGAGACCTCCCACTAACCATCAAAAAGTGAAGAAGTGGAAACTGAGCAATATGGAGTGCCCAGGTATAATACAAAGTAGCAACGTTAACACTGATCTCAAATGTTTTCCATTTATGCTCCCTATCTTTGAAGAAATCTTCCTGATGTTTCATCGTCTTAAGAATATATGTGCATTAAAGGACTGAAAACGAGAAGAAAAGAGAAAAAAAACTTCCTAAGATTGTGGAAGAAAACAATTGTGCCCCCACATTAGCTGCTGGTATTTTTAAAATATGCAAATTTAAAGGTTGCATGATGGATAGTACACAGACAATAGGCCTTGAACTTCTTCCAGTCAAAATAATATTAGCAGCCTCCAGGTTCTTTTTTTTACAGGCAGACAACTATCTTGCCATAGTTTTCTCCTTAGCAACAGTTTACCAAATTTAGAGACACCCTGTTAATTAAACAAGCAAACAAAAAATCTTATTGTTCTCCTTGCTGTTTTCTCAGCAGGCATCACTGAAGTCTCTCATGATTTAATTACTGCACCTGTCTGTTTGTTACTGCAGTTTGTTAGGCTGCAATATGTTGTTATTTACATCTCCAAAACGTTTCTATAAAAGTTTGGGATTAATTCTGATGAGTGGCTGCACTGCTTATTACACTGGTTTCCATGCAGACGTGTGCCCTGCAGTGGTGTAGGTTCACACAGGCATTACATCCACGTGGCATGCATAGAAACAAATAGAACTATTCTTCATTTGTGAAAAGGCAGGGAGGACAAACTCTGAAATTAAGGGTTCTGAGGGAGAGCTGTACATTTCATCTGCGAAAAGGAAGAAATAAAGACATAATAAGCTTGTGACCATCCAGTCATTTAGTCAAAATGGACCAACCTGAACAAGTTGTTGGAGTTTATAAAATGGCCTGGGCTTATTATTTCCTCCAGACAATAGTCTAAACAGAAAGTAAAGTTCAGAACATGACGTAGGGCACTGTTACCTCTGTGAAATAATTTCCTGAATCCAACACCTAACCTCTAAATAGCTCGGGGCATGGTTTCAGTTCTGTGGGCTTGTTTCTGCAGCATGGAATACCTACTTGTTTCATTAAAAGTAAATACAAAACTGAAACAAAAGTATTTTAATATGTAAAATGAGTTAAAGTACAGACAGGAATCCTCTCATGACAAGCATAATGACTTGGCTGGGAAACTCTGCATTGCTGTTGCCGTAAGTTTAGGAGCCTGTTGCATAAATACCATCAAAGGAGGGCTTAAGCAATGTCTGCCAGATACCTGCTTCATACCTGTTACTTATTTGGCTCGCAGAGTGGAATCCAAAGCCTGGAGCTGTGTTTTCAGGACCTTGATAGTGTAAAGGGAGAAGTGAATACCTGAGAAATCAGCCCCATGTGCTGAGCATGGGTTGATTACAGCTGCATGAAGAATGCTAAGCATGGCAGTGCAGGTCCCTCTCTCTGCTTCAGGTCCTTGACCCAGGGCTAGAAGCAGGAGTGGCAGCATTACTGCCTTTGTGAGCCACAGCATGGCAGCTTGGAGCACCTGCCTTGTTTTGAAGGCTTCTTTCTACCAGCAGCAGTGCACGTGAAAATCAGCAGCAGCTCTGAATGAGGGACTTGGGCTCCAGAACATCTTTCCTGTACTGTCAGACTTTGGTCCTATTTCTTCTAACTCATCGTTAGTGACGTGGAATCATTTTTTCCCTTTCTCAGCTACTTCAAAAGCTGCTAGGGCACTTTCAGGGGTTTAAGACCTGTAGTGGGCCACAGGTCTTTGCAGTATTCCTAATCATTAAGTTACAGTTTTAAAAGTTACACCACAGCATGCACAGCATCTCTGCTGTTAACATTTCTGAACAAGAGTAACTGTGGCTGCTGCCCTAAGTGTGCTAGGTGGAATCTGAGCTGGGCAGTCCTGTGGAGCCTTCCCAGGGGTTTGCATGGAGTAGAGAAAATCTTGTGATCAGCACATTTGCAGCCCAGGCCAAGATGGCTCTATGCAAGCAGGACAGATATACCTGCAGCTAACTCTTGGGTTAGTTCTGAATTCTAGGTCACTGTGGTTGGCTACTAGCAAGTTTTGGGTGTCTCTAGAATAGAGAGTCATTGAAAAGGAGAGGGCAGAAGCTTGGCTTATGATTTTGAGCATGATATCCAAGTCTTGTTTTATGTCCACCCATAAATATTGTAAAATATAGCAGTAATTTAGATCATGCATAGAAGGATGTGCTGCATTGTGACCTAGGACTTAATCCATGTCCCTGAAGAATTCAAGCAGCTGTTCTTCTGTGACATGGTATGTGTTGCATGTGTCAAAGAGATGGGTGAGATATTGCTCAGCATGGAGCTGCAGCATTTTGAAAATGTGGAAGGAAATGAATAGAGTGATATTATATTTCCAAGAACTGGAAATCCTCTGACTGCTGCTCTGAATGCAGCTTTTAAGAGGGCTCACCAGGAAGTCATAGATCCATAGATCATAGTCATCTAATCCCGGTCTTTGCAATGAATCTACTAATTAACATTTATTATACTGTGCCAGGTATTGTAATTGATGCCAATTAATTTTTGTCTTTTGTCTGTTCTGGCTTGCAGGGAGGAAAGAGTTACACAGGACCATGTGGAGGAAGAGACTGCAGTGGAGGATGTCAGTGTTTCCCTGAAAAAGGAGCCCGTGTAAGTAATATATTTTCCCACAGAAAGATCTTCATGCCATCAGCTCAGTGCCATTTGCTTTAGGTAGACTTGCATTAGAGTACTGGGAATATTCAATTTGTGTGGGGGTTTTTTGTTGTTTTTTTTTTTTTACAGGAAAAAGGTACTGTTGTTCCATCTTACTTCCTTGAAAGGAAGTAGATTTGAAAAAAATACTTTGTTATGAAGTATAGCAGATTATTCTTTTAAAGCTAAGGATCAAGGGACCTCACAATGCTAAATGATTGTTAACAAAATCACCCAATAACTTTCATGAAGTCTTACTAACGAAATTGTATCTGATGAAAAGATACCTCAAACAGGTGGTTTCCATTAAATCAGATGGGAAGCAGGTCTGCGGGACTTGAAATTCCTACTGGAAGGAAACTGCCTGGGACTTTCTGGCATTGGGTTGTTTCTGGTACTCATTTCCAGGGAGTATGGATGAGAATGGGAGTATGGATGAGAATGGGAGATGCGGTGGAGGCAACAAGCCACCTGCCCATAAAGCTCTGAGCAGTTGGCAGTTCTTTGTGGCTCAAAGTTCTGGCTGGCAGGCTCCTTTTGTTCAGCATGGTCTTTTGTAGCTGAGACAGTGACTCAGCCTTTTCCATCCACCCATCCCTAAGAATAGGCCAGGCAAGAGATGTGGCAGATCATATGCTTTCTGCTATCTCTCTTATTTTCTTCCATTCAGTGGGCTGTCAGTTCCCATTCCCATCACATTCCTCAAGCTTGACTCCACGTCTGAGTGGAAGAAGAGATTGGTAGCAAAGTCACTGTGTAGGTGGAAGGCAAGGAACACTTTTGTTTACTGCAGAAGTCCTGATGTCTCTGTGGAAGTCAGATGATCCCAGGCTTACCCTGTCATGAGCATTGCAATTGTTATACTCCCTTTTCCTGACCACAGGCTGTTCTTGATCAGCTTCCCATTGCAATAACCTAATGACAAACTGACGACACTGAGGTCAAATAAATCCTTCCCCTGAGGCACAGCTTCTGCAGGGTCTCTCTCCAGCTGTTATTGCCCTTCCCTGATCATTCAGCACTTGAAGCTTAGCAGATGCCTCCTGCCACTCCCCTGCAAGGGCACTGAAAGCCTATTGTTGCTGGGTGAAATGGCTTCAAGTATGATATTCTATGCTTCTCTTCAGTGGTTTTTTTGAGTTGTTCTAAGGTAAAGCATGGACCTACTAGCTCTCCACTAATGTTCATGAAAATTGTGACTTCTGTGACTAATCTATTTTTCTCCTTTCTTTTGTCTGTAAATAACCCTTAATTTCAAGTTGCTACATCTGCAGGAGAAGAGAGGTAGCTAAACAAAAGCAATTGCATGGGTTAGAAAAGCTGGAAATGTGAAGCTATCAAAGAAGAGACTCACCCAGGTGCCACAAGTTTAGTTGCTTCATATCTAGATTAGGAGACAAGGGCATACTCTGTGTACTCACTCTCCACTCTCACTCTTTCACTTATGTCAGGGAAGCTAGTAATCCCATTAACTAAACACACTGATTAAATAGGCACTGAAAAAGGGAAAAAGAGGATGTTATAAAACATTGATTACATTTTTCATTGATTACATTTTGTGGTTGGTGGTGGAAATTGTGAAGGATTACAGGGGAAAGTGATTTAAAGACTTCAAAAATTGTATTTAAATTCTCTGCAACCATATACCTCATTCTGAGTCAGCATAGTGTGCGTGTATTTTGTGTCTGCTTCTCTCCTCAGATGTCACAACCTTGGTGAAACATCTGGTTTAAGAAATAAGAGCGGCCTTTAGAGACTAGTCAAATTTGGCATAGCTTCTGGTCTCATGCTCAGTTCTCATTGGGAATATTTATTTTCACAGAACCTCTGTATAATCTGGCACGACGCACATTTTCTTTTTGAGGTGACTCATTACATGCACAATAGACATATTGCATGTTTGTACTTGTAAGAATGCCTGAAGCAGCTTGCTGGAGCCTGCTTGTTTGGTGACTCTGTGGCAGGTACCACACAGCTGTCACTTGCAGGGCGTCTGGAATTCAGGTAGAAGCAGTGCTGCAAGAGCCAGCAGCCAATGGCAATACCACTGCCCTGCCATACAGTGTAAGTGCACATTCTTCTCATAGCACATCTCTCAAAACCAGGCAAACAAAAGCACTTTCTTCAGCTTCCTGCTGCTGAATGCATATCAAAAACAAAGTAAATTCACTGGAGTGGTAAATACTATTGCAAAATATGACGGTGGAAGAGGTCTGAGAAAAGCTCTATCTTTTTATTCATGTATGGTTCTGCTTCATTTTCTGCCTTTGTTTCAGTTACAATCTTAAGGTATGGCATTTAGACAAAGATGCTTTTCCTTATTGTCTTAATTCAATTACACTGTGTTAAAACAGTGAAATGTGCTCAGTGCTATATTCTGGGGGCTCTGTGCTAGAGGTACAGAGGCACTGTCTGTCCAGATGTGTGAGGATTCAGCCAGACTCTGGTGATGTGTGCCAGGTCTCCAGATGCATGATGGCTGAAAGCCCTGTGGTTCTATCTGCACGGCTTTTGGTGTGAAACTAATAACTCTTACGTGAAGGCACAGAGAAGTTGAATCATGTGTCAGGAAGGCAGTTTCTAGGGACTAAAGGCCACCTAGCACAAGTCAATGAACCCAACAGGCCTGCCAAAAAAAAAAGAATTATGGTATTCCTAGGTTGTGATTTTTCCTATTTCCGGCTTTTTGTCCTGTTCATGACTGAGCTTGGCCATGAAGCTTTCTCTGGGCACAGATGGAGCAGAGTGAAATCCATTGGGGATGTGAAAATAAGTGTCAGAAGCTTGACCCACTTGCCATAGTGGTGAGGAAACTCTGCAGCAAGGCAAATGAAGCAGCTAATGTGCAAGCTTCCACCTCTTGTTTGAACTGGGAGCTTGGTACGGCACTTTCTGCCTCATTTCCATAAGGAAGATAGATCTGATTCAGACCTTCAGAGAATCACAGGGCATCACAAGTGATGATGACTTCTGCAGTTCACAGCTCAGAGAAGATTTTTCTAAAGGCATCTTTCCAGGGCCGCACATGATTCCCTTGAAGTTGTCACCTTCTGCCTTGCTTTTGAGTTGATGCCTCCAGAGCAAAAAGAAGAAAGGGAACTTCTTCCATAAGTTGTTTTTTTTTCTACTGTCTAATGACACCCGAGTCTTTGCTCCTGTTCACAGCAGGAACCTAATTCAAACCTAGGTGTGTATTTACTGTTAGCTGGATACAAATATCCAGTCTTTAAAGGTCTGATCATACCTTAAGGCCAGCTGCGCAGTCAGCCAGCCATTCTTGCAGCTGGGAAATCTCTCAGCAGAGATACAATGAGAATCCAACTTCCTGCAAGAGGGTGCTGACCCGTGCAACAAGCAGCTGTGTATTCAAGCCTCAGGTGGAGGGCGCAGAGTGACAAGGGAGAAGGAGAGCAGCCTCATCTTCTCATTAACTAATGTGTGAAGAAAAGGTGCCTGGATAAGACAGGAAGGAGAAGAGGGAAGCACTGACGCTGTATTGGAATTCTACTTTAAATGAAGCAGAAGCTTTCAGCTGAAGGAAGGGGAAAAAATGGATAAACTTCTGTTTTCTTTCCTTTTCCTCCTTTCCTTTCTATTGCAGCTTTTAAAATTTTGAGAGTTAAAGTTCTTTGCAGACTGTATAATGGGCAGAGATTGCATCTATTGGTGCATATATACACACCTTTCAAGTCCGTTAAAACATGAATGCACTTATGTAGGAAGCGGTAACTCCTTTCAGTACAATGGCCAACTGTTCGACTTGCTGAAGTTCATAATCAACCTCACTTCATAATCAACCTAGAGGGCTTTGTAGAAAGTGGAAATGAATAGCAATCTTCTTGATCTTTCTGTAGAGAAAAGGCACTCTATTGAAATCCAGCTTTGTACTTTCTATGTGAAGCAAGTGTCGAGCACTGCTTGCGCTGTTGTTTTTACAAGGGACTGCAGTAATGGTAACTGAAATGAAAGGACAGCTTCGTGTTCCCATAAAGGCCATTTTATGGGAATGCCAAAACATTTCCTTTTAATCAGGACTAATTCAGTAAATGAAATTTAATTCACTAAAGCTCCTTTACAGATATTTGTTGCATTGCTTTCACTAATGCAGTGGCCAAGGTTACGTTATTATTTGTTCACGTATAATCATTCCTGTCTGCTTTTGAGTGCTATACAGTTGTGAAATCCAGTGTCTGATCTTAACTTACAAGCATTTTCCATACAAGCTTAAGTCTTAACACATGGACTACATCAAGCAGATGTTTTCTTCTGTAGTTAAATGAAGTCAACAAAATGCAACACTTAAATATTCTAAAGTCACTTCCATTCTTATATCCTTAGGGAAACCGGTTAGTTAAAACCAGTAAAATAATTTTATTAACTGTTAATGTAATTTTTGAACTTCACAATAAACCAGGTTCTCAGGTGATATAATGGCAGTAGCTCAACTCATGGTTAGTGTAAGTTGATATATCTGATATTTTACCCTTTTTTAATAAGAACATGAGAAATTTCTTCCTATCATCTACCTCTAGTACATCTAGCCCATTACTCTGTCTAAAACACTGATGGTAGAATGTTCTATTTAGGGGGAGTGCAAAGATCTGAAAACTTTCTGCAGTCCATTCCCTTGTAACCAAAATCATACTGCTAGAGATATGACATATTTCTATATTTCTTCAGTACTTACATTTCTCCCTGAATTTATCCAATCCTTTCCTGTAGCTGATCTGTGTCCTTACAACTTCCTGTGGCACCAAGGAGTTCACTAATCAAATAAAATGACATTACTGCCCAACATCTATTTACTTCTGGTTTCATCAAGTACACCCTATTTCTAGTACTGTAAGCTTCGGAAAAGAGCAGTTCTACATTTACTTTGCTTCCTGCTTCCAGAATTATGTAAATCTCAATAATTTCCCCTCTGCACTTTCTCTTGTCCAAAAAGCAAGATTTCC